CGCTAGAAGCGTCGGCTGTGTTTAAGCCAGTGTCTGCCTTTTCTTCTGCTTGTATCACTTAGAATGCGATTCTTTCGCGATATCGTTGTTTCAACAATACAAATAAATAATAAAATACAAAAAAGAAGTATTCTTGCCTAACTTTATACCGAAATTTAGATCAATATTTCAAGCGTAGTATGTTTAAATTTGAACAAAAAATGTAATAGCCTCCTCGCTCTAAAATTTCTCCCTTTTTTGGTAGAGCCATTATGACGTCGCTATAAAACTTCTGTACTTTCTCGTTAAAATATTTTTTACTTATAGTACCAACTTATGGGACAACCTAATAATAAACAAAGCATAAACAGACGCTCTTACTATTTCCTTTTTACAATAATTACGTATAAAAATGATCGAGAATCTTCAGTGGGGCTCTTGAAAACACGGGTCAAAACAGACCCACCTACCAAAATCATAAAAATCACTTATCCAAGCCAATACTTAGCACATACAAGACCCACAATCTCCTCCTTTTAATTCAAACCTGCCAACTGATCCCAACAAAATCCAGCGTCCTCGCAATTCCATAACAAACCACTCACTCCAAAAACCACACCGAAACAGTTCACACTCCTGACGAACCATCTCCCATATCACAACCATAAATCCCACACTCGACGAGGCAACGAACTTAATCCAATCTCGACTGAAACCACCCAAACAAAAAAGGAAACTATCCACCACTTGAGACTTAAGGGCGACTTAAGAGAAACTCGAAGGAGTGTAAGCGAGAAGCACAAACAGAAGAACGTACTGCAGTCGTTCTCCGCAGGATCACCGAGCAGATGCGCGACACTTAGGGTGATTCTCGCGGACGGCGGTCTTTCGTTGGTCGTTCTGCAACCCGCGTGTTCGCCGGCCGCGTTGTCGAAGCTCTTGGAGACGAACTGGGCGAGCTGCTCCATCCTCGCGGCGAAGACTCGCGCGGCTCTCGCGTGGACCTCTCGCGTCCTCGTAACACGAGAGCACCGCAAGGGGGTTGCAGAAGGTGGCCGGACGGTGGTGGCTAAAGGTTAGAGCGTTGGTGACGCGACGCCACGCGTCCCCCAGGACGCCATTCGGACGCCGGCCAATCGTCGGATCGCTGGGCGGTCCCGTAACGCCCACGCTCTCTCCCCGCTCTTAACGGTTATCCCTGACGACCACCATCGACCTCAGGCCATCCCTACCATCTCTGCGCTACGTTGAACCACTGGAAACCATCCCCCCCCCTCCCTCCCTCACCAGCCGGGGTGTCTCTACCGCCCGTAAACCGAGGCTCATTAGCATTTGCGCCCGCTTTTCCACCCGCGCGACGGGGAGCGCAAACTACCCATCTACCGATGGCCGAACGCGGTCTTCGTTGGATAGTATCGCGTACCGTGTTTCTCGCTTTCTCCTGGGTGCGTTTGTATCGCTGTATGGGGTCTTTTGTCTTTAGGGGAGATCTGGCTTTCTCTGTTTCTCGGTTTCGCTCTCTCTCGGCTTCGCGTCTTTCTTTGTATTTATGTATCTCTGGTTTTGTGTGCTTCTCGGTTTGTCTCTGTCTATTTTTGTATGGCTCTGTCTTGCCTACTGTGTTTCCCACCTTCTCTATCTATCTTTGTATCGTTGCGTGGCTTGCTTCCTCTTTAGCGGAGCTCTGCTTTTCTACGTTTCTCTCGGTTCATCTCTGTCTATTTTCGTATCTCTCTGTGTCTGTCTATCTCTGCTTTCCTCTGTTCCTCAGTCCATCTCTATCTATTTTTGCATTGCTCTATCTTGCCTACTGTGCCTCTGTGTTTCTCACTTTCTCTACCTATCTTTGTATCGCTGTGTGTCTTGCACTGCCTTAATGTATCTCTGCTTTCCTCTATCTCTCACTTTGTCTCTGTCTATTTTCGTACCTCTCTGTGTCTTTCTTTGTATTTCTGAATTTCTGTTTTCCCGTGTTTCTCAGTACATCTCCATCTATTTTCGTCTTTCTCTATATAAGCAACGTTCCTCTTTGCGTCTTCCTTTATATCCATCTCTATTTCCTTTATTTCTTACCTCCTCTCTACCTATCTAGCTCTCCTCTCTACGTTTCCCT